ACATATCATTCCTAAGCAAATAGAAACTAAGAACTGAAGTCACGAAGCAGTGTAGAAAGGACTGGATGCATTGGGACACAGGGTCTTGCTATGGAACCTAGGCTGGCCTCCAATTGATGATTCTTTTGCCTGCACCTCCCAAGTGCTGGGACTGTGTTGGTCATCATGCCTGACTCCAGGGAGTGAATTCTAACTCAACCTTTAGTCAGCTTTGTGCCTCTAAACAAATCCTTTCCATTTCAGAGGCTTGTAAAATCCATACTAAAATGTATTGGACTAGATAAATTCTACATAGTTCCTTTTAGCCATCACATTTTAAGCCTTGAAGTTATTGTGAGGGGCTAAAACAATAAGCACACAGGGCCAGTAATAAGTAATAAAGATGATACGTCCTGCTGCTTCGTGATGAGAGTCTTGGGGGTTTCCCCACCCTAGCAAGCAGGGTCTCTCTACACTGTCCAGACCAGTGTAGATAAGACCAAGGTCAGACATGACAGCTCTCTAAATTGACTAATCCAAAACTAGGGGAGGGGACCTGCCCATGTCAGCAAAAACACTTAAGAGACAAACCCTCCAGGGGGCTTTGGAGTCCTCTGTGTTCCAGTGCCCTCTCTACTTGTGGAGAGCTCTCTGAGTTTGAGTGTGCCTCTCTCTTCATCTCTTAATAAGCCTATTGCCTTCTGCTGTGTCTGACATTTTTCCTGCCTTTTAATTCTTTAATTGGCAGAGAAAACAAACCCAATCAAGACCCTTGGATAACATTATAAATTTCAACTGCCCTGCTTTTCATTAAAAGTGGATTTATGGGGGCTGGAGAGATGGCTCAGCGGTTAAGAACACTGGGTGTTCTTGCAGAAGATCCGGGTTCGAATCCCAGCACCTACATGGCAGCTAACAACTGCCCGTAACTCCAGTCCCAGGGGATCCGACAGCCTCTTCTGACCTTCGCGGGCATTGCACGACACAGGTGCACTTACTTACATGCAGGCAATACATGAATACACATAAAAAAAAATTTTTAAAGTGTATTTTGCAGAAATTGATAAAGCTGATTCTAAAATTCACAAGGAAATGTAAACAACTCAGTATAGATAAAGCAGTCTTGAAAGGGAACAAGGTTGAAGAATTCATACTTCCTGATCTTAAAACTTACTAATACCAAACTATCCAGATGTCATAGAGCTGACGCAAAGATATAAAGATCAATGAAACAGGCCTGGGAGTCTAGAAACAAGCTCAGATATGGGCACCTGACTTTCAACAATGGTGGGAAAATTAACTCTTCAATAAATGATGCCAGGATAATTTGATATACACATGCAGAAAAGGAGATCATAGACCCTGCCTACCCTCACAATTCAAAATGGTTCAAACACCTATCTGTAGGAGCTAAAACTCTCTCAGAAAAAAAATAAGACTATCTTTGTGACTTTGGATGAGGTTAAGAGTGGTTTCTAAGAGCTGGCAAGATGGATCAGCAGGTAAAGGTCCTTGCCACCAGCCTGATGATGACCTTTTCCATCCCCAGGACCATATGGTGCAAGGAGAGAATCGACTCCTGTAAGTCGTCCTCTAACCTCCACATGCATGATGTGGCGCACATACACAGATAATAAAAAAGAGAATGGTTTCTAAGAATGGCACCAATTATACAAAAAAACAAAAAAGAAAAAAATGGACCCCCAAAATACAAAGTTTGCTGGGTGTGATGGCACATGCCTCTGATCCAGTACTCAGGGTGGTAGAGATAGGTGATCTCTGTGAGACTGAGGCCAGTCTGGTCTACATAGTGAGTTCCAGGCAACCTAGGGCTACAAGGAGACACCGTTGCCAAAAAAAAAAAACCAAACAAAAAAAGTTTATAAAGTTTATGCTTCAAATTACATGATCAGTAAAGTGAAGACAAGCTACAGAAATATTTACAAGTTATATATAGAATGGTTTACAGTATACAGAATCCATAAAAAGCTTCTAACAATGAAAAAGATAAAAACAATTTAAATTTGAGCTGGAGAGATGGCTCAGTGGTTAAGAACACTGGCTGTTCTTGCAGAAGACCCGGGTTCAAATCCCAGCACCTACATGGCAGCTAACAACTGTCCATAACTCCAGTTCCAGGGAATCCAACAGCCTCTTTTGACCTCTGTGGGTATTGCACGACATGGGTACACTTACCTACATGCAGGCAATACACACATACACATAAAAAAAAAAATTTAATTAAAAAAATTTTTAATTTAAAAATGGACAAAAGATTCAAAGACATAGACACACCCAATAAGCACATGCAGGAAACACTTAAGACTATTATTAAGAAAATGCAAACCAAAGCCTCCAGGAGATACTTCTTCACAGAGACTCTGGATGGAGAAAAACAGAAAAAGACTGAGTGAAAAATGTGGATGTGGAGGACATAGAAACCTCACATGTGCTGATGGGAACATAAAATGGCACGGCCACTCTTTAAGACCATCTGTAGTTCTTCAAAGAGTTAAGCAGAGTTACTGTACAATCTAGCAATCTGATTCTTAGGTATATACACAAGAAAATTAAATATATATGTTCATATTTTCAATCTTGTACATGAATAGTCAAAGCAACATATATATTTATTGAATTTTTGTGTATTTCATACATAAAATTATCTTTATATCCCTTCCCCCTTGGCACCTCCCATAGCCCCCCACTGGAGTTCGCACATTCTGTCGTTTGTATTAAGGCCTATTATGTATAGTGTCCCAAGATGTCCCTCAGTGCAAGTTCATCCACCAGGGTTTAGTCAGCCTATCTAGTCTCTCCCTTCAAGGGGAGACTTCCTCACTCAGCAGTAATCAACTGCCGATAATTCTTTGACTAAAATTGGGGCTTGCTGTTCACCACAGTTCTGTGCTGGGTTTTGGTCTGCCTAAGTTTGCATGTGTTTTAATTATTATTATTTTTTTTTTTTGGTCTTTTTGAGACAGGGTCTCCCTGTAGCCCCAGCTGACCTGGAATGCACTATGTAGACCAGGCTGGCCTCGAACTCAGAGATCCACCTGCCTCTGCCTCCCAAATGCTGGGATTAAAGGCATATGCCTGGCTTAATTTTGATTATTTTTATGTGTATGAGTGTTACAACTGCATGTATATAAGTGCGCCCGTGTTGTGCAGTGTCCACAAAGGTCAGAAGAGGGCACTGGATCCCCTGGAACTACAGTTACAGACGGTTGTTAGCTGCCATGTGGGTGTTAGGATTCGAAGCCAGGTCTTCTGCAAGAGCCAGTGCTCTTCACTGCTGAGCCATCTCTCTAGTCCCAAGCAACATTCTTTTTAACACTCGAAAACTGGGAGCCACTCAATGTATATCAACCCATGAATATGACATTCAAATAATTGATATGACTTCACTATAAAATAAATACCGGAAGTGGAGGTTAGTCTTAGCAGTCCAGAGGCAGGTAGACTAAGTATGTGAAGCCGGCCTGAGCTATAGATCACAAGATCATGTCTCAAAGCAAACAAATGATACTGACACACACTACTACATTAATCTTGAAAATGATGCTATTTCAAGTGAAAGAAGACACAGACGGCCACTTACTGCATGATTCTGTTTATGAAATGTCCAGAAGAGTGAACTCCACAAAGATTACTGATGAAAAGGACAAGGAAGAAAGGAAAATGGAGTGCAAATGGTTATGGCTTGTTTGGAATGCTGAAAATATTCTGCAATTACACAGCAGTGGTTGCAAATTCTGAATACACCCAAACTAATGATTTGCACACTTCAAAGAGAAGATTTTGTGGTATGTTAATGCCACACACAGGTGAATGGCCTTCTTAAGGAAACTGGTATCCTCACTACTCTTTCAGGTCACCTAACATATCACAAAAACAGAAATAACTACAACTTCTGACATGTATCATCACACTGCAAAAATAATTATTTCTTCCTCCTGCCTCCCCTCCTCTACCCTCCCAGCCCTAAGGATCAAAGTCCCATACACTAGGCAAGAACTCTACTACTGAGCTCTCCCCAGGCCTGCCTTTTTTCTCCCCTCCTCCATTTTGAGTCAGGGGCTCATACAACCCAAGTTTGAAATAAGTGCTGAGTACAGGCTTGTGCCACCGTACCCTGATACAATTTCTTTTTTAAAAAATATTTTTATGTGTATGAGTGTACTGCCTGCATGTATGTAAGTGCATCTGTGTCATGTAATGCCCACAGAGGTCAGAGGAGGGTGTTTGGGTGGAACTGGACTTAGGATGGTTGTTAGCCGCCATGTGGGTGCTGGGAACCAAAATCAGGTCCTCTGTAAGAGCAGCCAATGCTCTTAATACTAAGCCATCTCTCCAGCCCCACAATTTCTTTTTAACAAAACTATTTGCAGTTATCAGCTGATAGTTCACATGCTGTACTTATTTCTGAAAATTTCTGAGCTTATGACTTATCTCACTGTTGTCTTTAAAACTTATATTTTTCTTAAGTAGCTGAGGCTGCAACAAAGGGGTTCATTTCAGGAATTTTAGCAATACTATCATCTAGACACAGGCAAAAGTACTGCTCTTACAAAGACACTACTTAGCACAGCCATCTTCAAGTATTCCTGGAAAATGTAATTCCTGTTCATAGGACAGCAGAAAGGCTTGGTAAGAAACAGTTTTTAGATACTGGCATTACCATGTAATATGTACAGCCAGATACTTTAAACCACGCAACAACAGCAGGTTTTCTTCTCCTGGAATAGAAATACAATTGCAGGGTTACTTTAAGTAGTAACAGGAGCATAAGAGAAATGTTTTATCAAGTGCTAAAAGAAAACATACCCTTTACCACCTTTTGCAAGGTTGTTTGGTAGGTCTGGTTTTTAGTATCAGAAGGCCACAACTTTGCTTTAGCACTATAACCCACAAAGTCTTGGCCTGTGAACTGAATGAGAACCAATTCTAGTTTGACATCATTGGATTGAAAGATATATAGTTCCATCAAAGTGAAATAAGACTCATGCTTTGATAAATACTACATGTACAGAGGAAGGCTTAAATATTTAAGAAACAGGCATCAAGGTCTGCCAGGATCAAGCTACTGTCTGAAAAAAAAGACCCATCTACAGATTACAACAGGCAACATGATTTTCACTGTTTAAGTTAATGAAATGGCATATTTTCAGTTTCTACTCTTGAACATGATTAGTTCATTCTGTATCAGGATGGCAATTACCCAATTTTAGTATTATTTTTGTAGTTAACAAGTATAAAACCCCACCATTGCCTAGATAAACTCAGAGAGCAAGCCTAAGAAAGGAAAACATTTATACTTTTTAATTAAATTATACTGTTACCTTATGAAAATGTGAGGTTCAACATTTGTGTTCTTAAAAACAGAGCACTGGACAGTTTCAAATACAGTAACTGGGCCAATAGCTAAGATAAAATATATGCAGACTCTCTAAGATCACAGTAAGTCAGGCTTTCTTTTTTCTGCTTTCCAACAAGGTCTATGTAGCTCAGGCTGGCCTCCAGCTCACGATGCTCCTGCTCATCCTCCCAATTATTGGATTACAGGTATACATACCACACTCAGCTTCAATGCTTTCTTTTGGATAACACACATTCAAAAGATGAGGTTAAAATTCCAACTGAATAACAACAAAATCTTAACAAGAAATAAAAATTTATTTCCAAAATAAACGTGTAGTGTCTCCCACCACACGGAAACGTTGGCATAGGGCAGATTCGCTCCATGTGGAGATAACTGCACAGCAGAATTCAAAAGAGGAGGAACAGCACACAAGCTTTGTTGTTTTTGATTTTTTGTTTGTTTTTATTTTTTGTATAGCATATCTTTCCTAAATAATTTTCCTTTATTCAAGAAGATATAAGAAACTGTTTGCAAGAATGCATGCAAACCTGTTTCTCTAAGGCCATGAACTAGTTTGCTAAGTTGCATTGTTTCATTCAAGTAACAAAGCCCTTAGAGAGTCAGGAATTGGTAGAGGAGACCGGTCACCCTCAGGTAAGTGGCCTGTCTCCTTGTCAGAGTCTCTACCACTCTGCAGGGTAGAATGCTCAAACTGAGCATCAGCAAAACAGGTTCTATTTACATTTTCTTCCCGTTTTATTCAATACAGGGAACCAAACCCAGGGTCCTGCACATGCTAGGCAAGAGCTCTACCACTGAGCTACACCTGCAGCCCTCTATTTACATTTTTCAAAATCTAATACAGGTTCACTTTTTCTGGCAGATTCTTTGTGTATGTTACAAAACAAAATCGCAAAAGCTTAGCGGAGAATCTTCTCTTCCAAGAAAGGTCAAGCAGATGTTCCTTGACATCATGTCCTTTACACAATGGCATACTGCTCATATAAAAGGTCTCGTATTCTATAAAAGTCTTGACAAAGGCAGCCTTCCAAGCCAATGCGTCCAGTCTCCGTCTAGAAACCAATTTTAAAAACTTCTTTAGTACACCTCCTATTCATTAACATGCAGACATAATAAGCAAAATATATAAAACAGACTACAACTGGTCAGGAAATGGGTTACCGTCCTGACTCACAGAATATAGACATAATATTCCAGTAATGAGTTTTTATAGGTACATAAATGTCAGAGGACTCAAGAATTTACTATAAAACTATATACCATTTCTTCAATCACTTTCATAAGTTTTTAAGGCCATCATGATGAATATAAATTACTGAACTTTAGCTTTATGAAATAAGAATTACAGAATTAAAATAAAACCTCAGAAGCACATGTTCAATTCAGCCCTTATTAAACACAAACTTACTCTACGAACTGCTACTTGATTATTGCAAACAAGTACACCTCCAACAAATTCTGCTTGAATGCCCTCCCGCAAAAGAACTTGCTTGAAGTCAGAGAGTCTTGGTTCATTCATAAAAACTGACTGATGTCCAGGAACCTTGGATAAAGTCAAAGGGGAAAAAATAACTTCAATAAAACACCAGAGACAAAGCTAAAATGGAAGAGTGTGACACTGCATTACCTCTAAGATGTTTTCATTATTCCCTGAAGTCCCTTGACAGATCATCTCAAAACTATAAATTACATTCCAAGTTTGTTATTCTGGTTTTACCTTGTCACTTACCATTACAAAGCCCTTCACATTTGTTGCTGTTTCACAATTTCCTTAGTCATGCCTCCTAACAGCGGAGACGCCTGGTAATGTAATGCTCTCAGTCACCCACTTGCTGGAAAGGGTCAACTAGAGTGTCAAGAGGCAGAACTGAACCAAAACCTCATTTTCCAGATCCCAGCCTCTTGCTTAGTTCAGAGGATAATTCTTCCCTAATCCCACCTCCACTCTCCCCACTCCTCCCTCGGAGTGACTGTGGATGGATGCTACGGGTTGAGAATCAGAAAAGCAAGTGGTTCTTGCCTAATGCAGTTCTTTCAGACTGCTTTGAGAGCACTACAGCTTCAGCAGAGAGAACGAAACCTTCTCACTTGTCCTCTGAGTTTCAGGAGCAGCACTACAGCAAAAGCCAGTGACAGACTGCCCTGCAGTCTCAACTTCACAGCCAGCTCAAGACTTTACTTGACAAGCATGCAAGACTCTCAGAGCATTAATATTGCTCTAAGCTTCATTACCTAAAATCTTTCCTAATTAACTAAATCCCTCTTGAGAACATGCAACTCCTAAGCTAGCATTATAGTGGACAACTTCTCACTGTATAAATCCACAAGTGACCTGAATGGAGCTGACAACATGAGAAAATGATACTCTTAGAAAGCTATAAATCTTCTGAGTAGAAATAGGAGAGGTGGTCCTCACAATCAGACTTGTTATTTCAAAGCCCATGCTAAAAACAAATCATGAGCAATTATATTATTTGCTAGGGGAAGCTAGGATGGTAGATGTGCCATGAAAGCAGAAAGGAGGCGGGGGCAGGGTGGGGGGAGTGCAATGGTACAAGGTGGGAGGGTCAGGAAATGGGGGAGAAGCAGTGACAATTAGAACCAAATTTTGGTTAAAGATGCCATTATAAACCAGGCATGGTGGTGCACGCCTTTAATCCCAGCACTCAGGAGGCAAAGGCAGGCAGATCTCTGTGAGTTTGAGGCCAGCCTGGTCTACATAAAATTCCAGGCCAGCTGAAGACAATTAAAAAAAAAAAGAAAAAAAAAAAACGCTAATACTATAGATGCTAATTAAACACCTTTTAATATAAAAAAGGTTTGGTAAAGGTTTCCCTTAAATTATCATTCCTGTAGAGAATTAAGATAAAGAAACATATCTTGAGTAATCCTTTTTCTTAAGATCTTAAAAATCAGCCTATATACAATGTATTATAATGGTTAAAGTCACAAGAGGGAAGCTAGAAGGATAACAAATGAAGAAAGACGACGGCTGGGGATGTAGCTCACTTGCCTAGCATGTGGTAGGCCCTGGGTTTGATCCCCAGTACCACTAAAAAAGAGACAGAAAAAGCAGGTGCTTTGTACCTCATGAGGCGGCAAGGGCTCCAAGGTCGGGATGATCTCACTCTCTTCGCCCAGTTCTTTCTCATCATCTCCAAACAGACTTTTCATGGCCTTCTGCTGGGCTATCACACTCGAATCCGAAGGAGCATCTGCTTGCATTTCAGAGTCTTCGCCATCATCCTTCAGTTCTCCTTCTTCTAGAATAACTCCCGTGTCCACTTTGGAAACTCTCATGTCTAAGACACCATCTATCCACGCTAACTCAGCATCTTTTGCTTTACAAAACTGAAGGGAGCTGACAAGTGAGTCTTTTAATCTCACCTGAATATGCACAAAGGAGGGGAAGGAATAAAATCCAGAGCATAAATTAACAAATCAGATACAATCTCTTACAGTCATTTTCTAACTCTGGCAATAAGATTAGCATCAGAAAAATCCCTCTTTTATCATTCTTCATGACTAATTACCTGTAAGATCTTAAAATTCTGACTGCTTTCCAATAAGGGCTCTCACATGGAATCCCCCTACCCACCTGATGCTGACACCAGCACTGGCCTCTACCACCAGTGTTTCTAGCATTATTAATGAGCCTGGATGATGGCAGCCCGTGTAGCCTTGGCTGGTGCCCTGCAGAGTGCTAAGCTGCTTGTGCTTTCTGGAATTTGCTATGCAACTTCACACCTCCATGTGGCTTCCTCTTGCTCACCCAGAATAATTTTTCTGCCTGGTAAGTTCTAACTTCTTCCAAATATACAGACATCACACCTACCTTCAACTGTCACTCTGCCCCACAACCAGGCAAGAGTTCATCTCTCTAGATAGGCCTGATTTCCTCATTTCTTTCAATTAGGAGAAGAACCATGACATATGTTGTGTCTTTTAAAAAAAAAAAGACACATGTCTGTAATTCCAGTACTCCAGAAGCTAAGGCAGGAGGATAGAGTTGGAGGCTAGCCTGAGCTATGTATAGTCAAACCCTGTCATTCATTCATCAGTGAGTTTGACTTAAACATTCATCATCCCCGTTACCTCTTTACTTCTCATGTGTTATCTACCTAGAACGTGTCCCTTCACTCTTTCCTGCTGCGCAGACAAGCTATCTAAGCATCCAATAGGAAGGTGCCAGCTTAGTTATCACTACTTCCAGGAAACCCTTCTCAAACCTCCAAACTTGGGCCAGAGCCCTCTTCCATGTACTATCCTGTACCTTTCATATCTCTACCTGAGAATTATGATTTGCTTGCTATGAACACCTTGAACTACGGGCTTCGTTAGGGCAGGGGACCGTGCCTGTCTCACTCACTAGCATTCCTGGTGTATGTGGGCTAATGTGCAACAGCAATGCTTATCTCCATGTGGTTCCACTATCAACCTATTTACCTGGTAGATATGTGTTTCACTCGTGGCATCAACTGTTTCATGTAGCTTCGGCATGTAAACTTTAATATCTTTCCCACCAAATGCGCGGCAGCACTCTGCCAGATCCTGACTGGCCTCTGGCGGGCCATGGACAATGATCAGCTGTCGTGGTTTCATCTGATTGATGATCTTTTTAATGGAATCTCCATCAGAGCGTCCTTCATAGTCTATGTAGGTAACCCTGGCTCTGTAATTGGACATGATTCAAGCTTACTTTCCTGATAAGTTAATTTCAATACTTTATTTACTTTTACGTGTAAAGAATATATTGCCTGTGTGTATATCAGTGCACTCATATTGTGCAACGCCTAAAGAAGTCAGAAGAGGGCATCAGATCTCTTAGAACTGGAGTTACAGATGATTGTTAACTGCCATGTGGGTGCTGGGAACTGAACCCAGGTCCCCTGAAGAGCAGCAGTGCTCTTAAACCCCTGAGACCGCTCCAGTCCCACTTATTACTATTACTAACCATATTATGTAGAAAAGAAAAAAAGTTTAATACTTCAAATCCTATTAAAATTTCTACCCATTAGGCATTAGAAATGTTTAAGCAAGAACATCTTATAAAACAAGTAGTTTCCTGAAAAATTTAATTTCTGAGTGGCACTGTTCTCTTCACCTGCTACTAGACCAATTTAAAGGGCCAGAAATAACATCTCTTCATATAAATGTGAAATTTAATGATCAACTCCCTCCCCACCCCACCACTAACTCAATTACTCTGGTATTCAAATATTATTAATGAAAATATCACCATACTTTACAGGTCTTTCACAGAAAAAAGAAATTTTAAAAGCATGAACTTACCAGAGGATATACTAAAATTTCACTTCTGAAACAATGCAAATTATGTAACTCAAGTGCTTGAAATTTTATCTTATAGCCTAATTTTCAAATGCTACAAAAGCACTTACTTTATTTCAATAGACTCTGTTGCAGAAATACACTTGGTAGGAACATCAGATAAATCTTGGTCCATGGGTTCTTCTCCGTTTGTCAAACCAGATTCTAATTTGCTTTTTTCTTCTTCAGTAGCTTGAAGTTCTGGCACTAAGAAATCTTCTGGTCTAAACAATAAGTCTCTGATTAGAAATGTAACAATCATACTAATATTATATATTAGCTAATAAATGACATAATTTTAAGACTGCTCACATAATTTAAGACTTAAATATCTATTTGAGAGTGGGGTGTAGTGGCACACTTTTAATCCTAGCACTTGGGAGGTGGAGGCAGACAGATCTCTGTGAGATCAAGACCAGCCTGGTCACATAGGGAATTCCAGACCAGCTGGGGCTACAGGGAGACCCTGTCTCAGAAAACAAACAAACAAAAAAAAACAACAAAAGAACAAAAGAAAATCCATTTGATTCAAAAGTTAATTCAATATCATAATTGAAATTTAGGTAGGTAGAAGAATCATAATTCACACTAATTATCAGATGACTATATATATTGTTTTCATAACCACTAAAGAATGTATATTTATTGAGCTAGTGGAACTAAGAATTGAACCCAGGACTTTGCACAAGCTAGACAAGCAAACTATCCCTTAGTTACACCCTAAGCCAAAGAGTGCTCTTTAGAGACTCAAGTCTGGTAAAAGACCCCTGGACAGGCTCCAAGGAGATATGAACAGCTGTAGTAAGTACTCTGCAATCTGGCCCTGCATTCCTTCTACAAATATTATTATTATTTTATCGTTAAGTATGTGCATGTCCAATCTTTTGTCCTATCTTTACTTCTAACACCCGAGTTCTAATTAAAAACAAAACAAAAATTTGATCTTAACACTGTCCAACAGCCTGTAACTGGCTCTTATTCCCAAACCCATTCCCATTTATCACTGAGAACCTAGGCTCTATTCCCTAACACCCTTCTTGTTCCCTACAGCCAACATCTCCAACTACAATCTTCAGGATAACAATAGCAGCAACAACCATTTAGCACACATTTAGTATAATTCTATGCTAGGTGACTTAAAAACAAAACCTCATGGGCTGAAGGTATTTGCTGAGCATGATGTACAAGGCCCTGGATTTGAGCGCTATCAACCCCACCTCCTAAATAAACACACAACTTCATTTAAATCTTATCCCCATTTTTTTTTTTTTTTTTTAAGAATCAGAAGTTAAAGAGTAGTATCTAGGGCAGCGTGATGACTCAGTGGGTTAAAGAACTTGCTGCCAAACCTGACAACTTGAATTTGATCCCTGGAACCCACCTGGAAGGAGAGAACTTGAGTCCTGCAAGCTGTTTTCTGACCTCCACATGCACACCCACATAAGATACATACACATACATGCACAAATAGAAAGTAAATGATTAAAAAATAATGAGCACCAGATGTAGTGGTGCATGCCACTACTTGGGAGAGAGGGGCTGGTAGATCTCTGAGATCGAGGCTAGCCTGGTCTCACAAGGAGTTCCAGGCCAGCTGGGGCTACAGGGAGACCCTGCCTTAAAAAAGAAAAGGGCAATGTCCATGTTCAGCAGACCTGTCACTCATCAAATGAAACTGGAAACAAACACCAACATTAAGTTGTTATGTTTTCTCCACATTGCTTTAGAGGGCCAAGCAGACAAAGGAATTTTCCTAATTAAGTCCAAGAATGACCTAAGTCTACTACCTGCTCAAGACAGCATTATGGAAGTCCAAAGTATAAAGCTCATGCTTAAATCCCAGCTATGTAGAAGTAAGTATGTGTATGTATAAATACACAGAGAGAGCTAAGTGTATCTATATAGAGACAGACAGGGAAGAGCCGAAGTGAGAGCATCACAGACATTGTGCATTAGGCTGAGGCCCACCTGACACTAACTGGGAAGCAGAGAGAACCCTGGAAGATTCGTATACAGGTTAGTAGTGTTTTCAAATTTGCAAGTTGAGCACTTGATTTCAGTTATTTTACATAGTTACACCCCCTGCTATCTCAAATTTCTCTTGTGACCAAACCATAAAGCCACTTCCCAAATAAATACAGTCACTGTCAAAAGTTCTCTGTATCCCATGTCTCTTCCCACAGCATGTTGCTTACATCTTTTAAAAAAGATTTACATGGGGCTGGAGAGACGGTTCAGTGATTAAGAGCACTGGCTGCTCTTGCAGAGGACCAGGGTTCAATTCCCAGAGCCCATATAGCAGCTAACAACTATCTATTAATTCCAGTTCCAGGGGACTCAACGCCTTCTTTTAACCTCCATGGGTACTGCATGACATGGGTGCACTTACATACATGCAGGCAATACACTCATATGCATAAAATAAAAAGGTAATTAAAAAATATTTGTGTGTGTGTGCCTACACGTATGTATGTATGTGCACCATGTGCATGTAGTGCCCACAGAGGTGAGAGGAGGACATCAGATCTCCTGGGCCTGGAGGTACAAATGGTTGTTAGCCACTATGTGGGTGTTGGGAACCAAACCTCTGCAAGAGCAGCTAGGGCTCTTAACCTCTGAGCCAATTCTCCAGTCCCTCCATGAACTCTTTTTTAAAAATATTTTTATTATTTTTATTATATGTGTATGAGTGTATTGCCTGCATGTATGTGAGTGCACCCATGTCGTGCAATGCTGTGGAGGTCAGAAGAGGGCTTCAGATTCCCCTGGAACTGGAGTTAAGGACAGTTCATACCCACCATGTGGGTGCTGGGAATCGAACCTGGGTCCTCTGCAAGAGCAGTCAGTGCTCTTAACCACTGAGCCACC